TAAAGCTCTATGTCCAGTTTCTTTTGCCTCCTTCAGTTTGGGGTACAATTATTATACTGCGATTTTCAATTTTTCTTGGGTAATGTTCTCTTACACCAAACTCAGAACCTTTCACAACGTCTGATGCTGTATATTTGATTGACCTTGGTTTAGTTTGACCCCTTCTCCTCTTGCCAAGTCTATGTACACTTTAAAATGGGATGCTTTTGTGTATTTTCATTTTGTTTATGATAAATTTGTTTCAACTTTGCTTCAGACTTTCTTCATATTCCCCTGTTTCTGTTTAAGGTTCATCTATACCATAAAAAATTAAGTTTTCTTTCATGCCTCTGCATTGGAGATCTAATATTGTTTCATACTGGACTTGCTGATTTTCTTTTATTTCCTTCAAGGTTACTTCCATTAGTCTAATTAAACCCTGCAAGGGGTTTCATTTGGGTCTTGCTGATTTGGTGGTGATGCTTGCAGACCAGGGGGCCTTTGGTATTGTAAACTTTGGTTTGGGTTATACATAATTTATTTTAGTTCTGAAACTTTGGTTGACTGTTGATATGGGGTGTTTATATTAAAATATCCGCTACACATGTTTGTATTGTTCAGATCATATACCTACCCTGACATTATACTCGTGTTTCCATTTTGAATGCACTGGGTATTGTTTCAGTCATGTTCTGTACTTTTGTACTTGGTATAATTGTGGGTGGAGAAGGGTATATTATCTGTCTAGCACGATAAAGTTGCTGTACAGCTTCTACTTCTATTTCTATACTGCTTTAAAAAAAATTACGATCACTCTAAGCGGGTATACATTGTATACATTAATCCATCACTGCATGAGCATTTTGTGAAAAATGGCTGTTTTCATTGAAAAGTCTCCCGTTACAAGTTCAAATTGCTATAAAACAATAAAAAAAACTGCTTCAATACTAATCAAACTTGGCACAAATGTTAACTGGACGACCATTGCCACTGTAACAACATGCTCAGTCTGAAATTTATTGTTACCATGGCAGCGAGGAGACATCTCAAAATTGCCAAAATCACTATTTTGCGTTGATTTTTCTCATCAAAGTGCTGCAACTTCACAGTGGATTGCGATAGAGTCAAAGGCTTTTAAGCGTTGGTTACACGTTACCTTATGATTGACCTGGGGTCAGTCTTAGCCTCTCACAAGTCCAAAATTTCTTGGTGATGAGGGGGACTGCCGCACCCCTTCAAACCCCGCAAACCAGAAGGGGACACATCCCCCTTCTGGAAACCCTCTGATGTATCTTTTGGATAGGGGGCGGCGCCGACATTTCTCAAACATTTCTCAAACAAAACAAGTGTTGGGACCTGAATAAGGCATTTTTCACCATTTGAGATAAGAAAAAAGGGGGTGTGAAAAAGGCGTTAAAAAGCGTGTATATCTTGGAATGGGTTAACTGAAAATGATGAAAATACCTGAAATTTCCCAAAAATCGCGTTTTTCCATGTTAAAATATGATAAACAAGATCAACAAGGAAAGGCGGCGTTCAATGAACGCAACCCCCATATGACCCAGCAACAAGAACCAACGGCAAGGAGCCCAGGCGGACCCGGAACAAAAACAGGACAGGGCAAAGACAGAGCTCGGACAGGTTAATCATTAAATGATAAATAATTTGGAACTGATTAGGAATTCAAAATTTAAAACATGGCCTAACATATAATTTTGAAGAAAAAATTGTTGTCTTGTAGAATTTTTTATTATTTTTTTCGGAATACAGGAACCAGTCCCCAGCTGGCAATTGTTCTGCATTATATTTTACTTGGACATATTTGGTTGTCTAAGTATGCTCAGTATTACTTGCCATACATATATTTTCATCTTGCGTTTCGTCTCGATTGATAGGACTGCTTTGTGTGGTTGGGGTATCACCGCTTTTTATTGTGTTATCATTTTTACCGCTTTTATGTTTTCCCCATCTCATGCTTACTTCATAAGTTATCTGTTTCATAATTGACTTTTTAATGAATTATAGGAACACATTTTATCTTATAATCTGTTAAAACTCGATTTTCATATATATTTTTCACCGTGTTTGTTTACATACATGTTACCGCAATAATCACGTGACGTAATCTCCTCAACTTAAATCAATTAGCAAATCGTAATACAATACGGAAACTAACGAAAAGGCTTCCGAAAGTTATATTACCTCATATCTAATTAAATAATAATAATGTTTCAAATATATGCTTTGTTAAAGAGATCCGTCATAAACTCAGATAACAGGATCTAAAATTTCGTTACTTAAATAAATGTTGTAACACGCTTCACACTATTCATCTTTCAAATAGGGCAATCATGTGCATTACACGACATATGAAGAAGAATCTTTATTTTGCTAATTTATTCTCAAAAGAGTCATGTATAAGCATTCATGATATATACAATTACATGTATGAATAAGTAAATTACTAATTACATAGCAAAATGACGTGACTGCAAGTATTTCTTTTCTTTTATTTTTTATGGTTACCATTGATTAAATATTTTATTTACAAGTTATTTACTTTTTAAGAGATTCTACATTCAAATATATAATAGTAAGAAATAATTCATGTATGAATTATACTTGCAGTCTCGGGAGAGACAGTGTCAGCATCGATTACATAGTATACTTTAAAGCATAAATGAAATTTTGTTCCATACACTGGTCTTTGTAGTACATTTACTAACGTAAGCTATATGATTTTGATTTATTGCAAAAGTGTTTGGCTCAAAACGTTTAAATCATACAAACAAAACAAAAAAAAATGTTACTATTGGTAATATACATATAAAGAAATACAAAACAATGTATCAATAAACTTCTATGTACGTTTACATGGGGCTAGATATTCGCATAAAACATATATATATATAAATAAACACAATAAACAAAATGTTTGAAACAATACGGATAAAAATAGCGGGAGAAAGAAACGATGCCTTTTCAAATTTACATTGCAATTGTTTATTAACAAAACTGCAATAATAATGGAAGAGAAATATCAACCGGTTTCACCCGGTCATTAAAGGGATATTCAAGACAATGACGTTATTAACGTCGCTTGGTAACGGCGTCATAGTTATATCGTCTGCATACAACAACAAGAGCCCGGTTTGAGCCGGGTGATGCTCCCCGAATAGGTTTTGGACACATGAAAGTACACCTCTTGTAGTTTCAGAGTTATGTCCCTGGAAAAAGTTCAAAGTGCAATTATTCCAAAATTAGGCAAGGCAGAGTTACTGTTCTTTGCACTGCACTTCTAATCAATGTGATCTATCAACCTACAAAGTTTCTTGTTGATATCTCTTATGGTTTCCGAGTTATGTCCCGGACAACTTCAAAAAGTGAAAATAAACAAAGGGCAATAACTCCAGAATTAGGCAAGGCCGAGTTATGATTCTTGTGCACTGCACATCTACCCATTGAGATACCTACAAAGTTTCATGTTGATATCTCTTATAGTTTTACAGCTATATCCTGGACAAGATTTTTCTAAAAGGGGAGATAATTCAAAAATGAGGCTTAACAGAGCTATGGTTCTTTTGCACTGCACTTCTACTCAATGAGATCTATCTACCTACAATGTTTCATCTTGATATCTCTTATAGTTTTAGAGTTATGTTCCGGACAAAGTTCAAAGTGTTAAAATTAACAAAGGGCAATAACTCCAAAATTAGGACAAAAAGAGTTATTGTTCTTATGCACTGCACATCTACCCATTGAGATCTATTCACCTACAAAGTTTAATGTTGATATCTCTTATAGTTTTAGAGTGATGTCCCGGACAAGATTTTCCTATAAGGGGAGATAATTCAAAAACCGGGCAAAATAGAGTTATGGTTCTTTGACACTGCACTCCCCCTCAATGCCCTCTACCACTGTATGAAGTTTAAACAAATTATCTCCAAGGGTTTTCAAGTTATGCTCCGGACAAGACAACGGACGGACAGACGGACGAGCAAACATTTTTGGTTTAGGGGCTATATAACAGTAAAGAGAACAAAAGAGAACAATAGGTTCATTCCGTGATCAAAGGGTTTATGGGCTAGTAGCCCTTAAAGCAGCACGCCTCCAGACTAATGCTTATTTTCATGAAAATTTTGAAAACATACTTAAAAAGTAAAATGTTATGAGGATGACAAGAAAAGTAATTAAAACATTGCAAACGACACTTACAGTCCACATAAATTACCGAAAAGAGGTCAAAGTATGCAGAATTATGGTAATAAATTCTGCAAAATCAGTCATCTAAAGCAGACAAAATGTACATTATTACTTGATCTTGAATATTTCTAATGTTCTTAACATCTTAGAACGTTTTTCTCAAGTTTCTTTTTCTTGAAATATTTTGGCTCATCTGGAGGCATGCGGCTTTAAGAAAACAAAGAAAATAACAAAGAAAATAGCCCCTAAACCCAAAATGTTGGAACGTCCGTCTGTCCGTCCGTCCGGACGGACAAGACGCCGACTATATGCTCCCCCGAAAGTTTTCGGGGGAGCATAATAAACATATCTTAAAAATACCAGTATCTATGTCGTCGGCTCCTTTAGCTTAAAACACATCTTCAAGATCATTCAGATACATTAATTAAAAGACGCCCATTTCTATTCACTCCGGTATCGGTTGTCAACATATTCATATAAACGTCAGTAATATAATCATCAGGCAATATGCACACTTACACATCAGATATGAAGTCAATAAACCAAATGACGTCAGGAAAATTACTTCTGCGCTCAATGTAGTTCAACATATTTTTTATTACCATGTTAGAATGGAAAAAGAGATTATTTTTTCGTGCATTAAAGTACAAAAATGCTTTGTAATTAATCACCTTCGTGATCGTATACCTACGCATTTAAACTCGAACCATGCATTATTTAAATTTTAGCATACAACAATTCCATCTATTTCCTTACTGTAACATTTATATTTTCTATTTGGATGGCTTACTAGCACACAAACTAAACAAGACCCGAAGGATGGTTTATATATTTTATTATATGTGTTGCATCCAAGTATACACTCATAAACTCCCAAACATCAAGTAAACATACACACAGTAACAATAACGATATTTGATATTAAAGGCGTGGCTTATTATATCTTGTAGACTTGCTTACTACACTTACTATACTTTAATATAATGCAATTTTAATATCATTTATGTTTACCAATATGATACATCTGTACTCAAGACAATTAAGACAGTGTAAACAAAAACATTTTTTTATGCGGAACCCGTAAAATAAAAAAATCAAGTGTGCATATGTTTTCATAACAATACTTTTATACAGTAACTAGGTTTTTTTTCCTGACTTTTGCCGATGTTTCATGAAATAGATACCTTAAAAGCTGGATGTGAAGGAAGCAGTCCCAAATACGAAAGCATGCTAATATTGTTATTCCACATTTTTAAGCAGAATACCTCAAGATTCATGCTTATTTTTTCGTGAATTCGTTTAAATTGTATTAAAAAGAAAAACATTGTCAAGTGAACAAAGAAAGTAATAAACGCATTGCAAAAGGGACAATATATGTAAATCATTGCTTGAATTCTGAATATTTCAACTTTTCTTAAAACAATAGTACATTTTCCTTGTTTTTTTGCCTCATATGATGGCATTCAACTTTAAAGAAATCAATTTACAATGTGAATATCACAAAACTATCATTGAACACAATTACAAGCACATGTATATCATCTATACAACTGTAAAATATCAGACATGAATACAAAATTATGAACACATAAGAAAAACAATTATTGCCAGTTTCAAACACAGTATTCTTAAACAATACAATATATTACAATATAATGCAAAATAAATATCAGTTGTACACAATGTTAAAACAATTCAAAACAAAAAGCAATTTCATCCTAAATAAATTCTGTGCATTATATGTACAAGAAAGATACTTAAAAACAATACATTAAATATGATAAAATTAACTCTTATCACAGAACACTTTTCATACTGTCTTTTAAAATCATACAAAAAGGTAAATCGAGTATTATTTAATTAGAGGTACTTGTATTTTAACTTAAGCATGTATGCCACGTATTCTTATGAATGTAATGACTTGCCCATCAAACATCATGAAATGAGGAGTTCACACATTAATAGTCCTTATTTCAAATGCTTAATGCTGATAGAAAGTTACTGAATATTTAACTGAAAAGTTTTGTGTAATCACTTAATTTGAACATTCCAACAAAAACAACGAATTTTGTCTAAACACTCAATTTGAACATTCCAACGAGAAAATGAGTTTAGGCAATCACACGTCTTAAGTACATTAAAACAAGAAATTTGTATCTATCAAACTGATGTGAAGTAACAATAACCGTTGTTCAAATGATTTCAAGTAGCTGAACTGTCTTCCTTTGGATATAGTACACTCTGTTTTAATTTTGACTTTTTATTATCAAAACACTGGAATTTAGTAAAAAGAATGAACAGTTTTGTCACATGGCAAGTTATGACAGCTGGTCAGGCTCAGATATGGTATGAAGGAACACCTTATTGCCATTACCATTGCCATTCACCTAATTTTCCAACATCCTAACGTTTAGAAAATATTTTACCTTGCAGAAATAAAAACCTATAACTCTTGACACTTAAAAGAAATATATGCAACAAGTAGTTACTCAGTCATTTTTATTTAAATTTAAATTCGAGAGAGAGACATTTTGTATTCCATATGTTTTATATGGTATCCGGACATTTGCCCCTCGGAAGTTTGGCCTCTTTAGTAGTTTATATGGGCCTTTAATAAGCGTCATTCAAAGTTGCCATGGTTACATTCATGCTGACAGTACCGTTTGCTCCGTCTATACATAAATCCACAGGTTCATCAACCAACAGCAAACCTGAAAATTAAGTATCCAATTCTCAGTATGTACAGGTAGATCATCCTAATGTGTCTATATAACAGTCTTAATTCTAACATTGAACTTATGAAATAAAGTTATTCAATGCTTGCATTTACACTATAGTATTCAATATATCCTATATTGGACAGCAGCTATATGAATGTACAATACAGGTTATAATTATTTTTTCACAGTTTGATAAATGACATGTGGCATCCCTACCCTTCATCATTAATCGTGTGTCTTAGTTTAAATATATTACACTGGTGTATAGTTCAATGTTAAATAACCTGTAATTATGTGCGTAATCTTGAAAAAAGGATGGCATTGAACACAAATATCATATCTCAAAGCCTTTAGGTGAACTTGTAACAAAGAGGTTGAAACGCATCCAAAAGGGGCATGTACACATTATCAAATTTTGTACTTACCAGCAATAGAGGCGGTAATGAGACATGTAACCACACCTCCAAAGAGTGATCTTAACACAATAGAAGCTATATGGCCACGCCTCTCAGGAGCCATCGATCCTAAAGCTCCCAACTGTATACCAATACAGCTGAAATTTGAGAAGCTGCTGAGAGCATATGTTGCTATCACTTGAGATCTTATCTGAAATAAAATGGTGATCTAAAATTATATCAATGTAAGTTTATATTATAGGCATCTTTAATATACCTTATACATAACTGCCTTGAAAGAATTGTACACATTTGCAATACAGTAGTCCCGAGTTAGTTTCTACCATCTTGTATCTAGTCATACATAACCTTTTGACAGTATACTTATATAGTTACACTCTTACTATTTAGGTTTTCTTTGACTTTCTAGTTTGTCAAAAGATATACTATGGTAAGTTTAACCATCAGCAATATTGTCTTTCTATTGTGTTGTCAGATGCTGGGCATTATGTGGTTTAGCCTTTATGACTTAGCGATAACAATTATTGTTGGACTTCAAGTCAGTTGTTGTGTTGTCATCTTTTTCCATTTCACCAAACGGTACATAATAACAAGTCAACCAGCTATTTAAAATGCACTAGCTGTTGAACAGCTGTTTAAATGACATTCAATTGCTCTTGTTGTGGTATGAACTTGGGACAATACGCCACACAATATATAATACAAAATCAAGTGAATTAGGCAGATGTCATATCAGCTACAATAAGATATAGACGCATAAACATGGGAAGTAACTCTTACATCACTCTTGAGAATGGCAAATAAATACTCGTATATAACCAAGTACTTACATCAATTTTATGGAGTACTTACATTTGTATTACTTCACAATGCAAAAAAAATATATTCACTCAAAACTATGAAAGTTTAATATATAATCATGTGGTCAACATAAAATATCATAAAATCATAAACAGTTTACTTTGGTTAAAGTAGAATATATTTTAGAATCCTGAAACCACCACAAATACATTTATATCATTTTCATACAGTGTGTGATATAAACCATATCTCACAAATTAAACATATTAACTTATATGATATATATCAAATTGTGAACTTACTGAGAGATACTCCCCAGTACAGGTTGACCTGTTCTTTATAAATGTTCCAAGTTCCTGGTATGCTATAAACTCATTCAAGAAAGTTTTGATTCCAACCAATTCTCCCACAACACCTGTATCTGACCATTCCACACCCATTAAATAAGCTATTGGCATAAAAATGTATGAACAAATCATCTGAAACAGAAACATAGTCTATTGTAATGTGACCTTAATTGTAATAATTTCACTTTTTATAAGTATGGTTTTTCTAAATACAATGTAAATGTTTACAAATTCATTCAACCTTTACATAATCAATTTGTAAGTTTTCCGTCTGCAATGTTTGTTATTTGCATTAAAGTAAGTGATATTATTACGTATTAACATTGTTTAAAAATGTCATGCATATCACCTCTAGTTCATATACTGTATATCTATCAATATTGTAGTTTCCTACCCATAGGTTATTGCTCAAACATTAAATCTTTAGATATAGTCATTATGTTTATAATTTGTATGTTTAATAAATGTAATACATGTTAAATATAAAATAAAATGATTCCTGGACGAGAATTTCAGGAGTGAGCAAACCGACTTCCTAACGCCAGGACCAGGATGGCAATTTACGAATGCAATAATGATAGGAAGGCAATAAGATTGGCAGCAATGATGGCAACCAATTTGATGGAGGCTGATGCGCCAGCAGCTGCAGCATCTATAATATTTCTCTCCTTACTTGAATAAAATAAAATATTAATCATGAGACAAAATAAAGTATTGACTACTAAAGAATTAATGATATATGTTTTCATCCTGAAATAAAAACGTAACATTGGCATATCTAGGTTGGGAACATTGGCATATCTAGGTTGGGGTCATGATAATTATAATGTTAAATGTTAAGACATTTTTACCTTTCTCCCGTATCTACATCAGATATGTTTCTGATTTTACTTTTTTCTGTCTCAGGATACAATAACTTAGATACTGCTAGAGCACCAGGTGCGTTCATCACTGACGCACATAGTAAATGTTCTGGTGGTACCTACATAACAAATGGAATCGGTTATAAAAATCTCAGGTTAAAATAATTTATAAATAATTAAAAATGCTACAAGTGACTGTTGGATGAAATTGTTATAATTACTGTTGGTATTTTAGTTCATTAGGTTTTAAATGACACCAATATTATAAGTCATATAATTTTTAAATGATATATTCTAATCCCACATGATTTCTGTAGCAGTGGTGAGAGACAAACGACTGTTAGACTCATAAGATTTGAAGTAAGCCACCAATGATACTTTGTTATGGGTATCTCTTGCTTGACAGTGGGTCACAATAATGATTTTTGGGTCCCAGGTCAGGCTTGCTGGTCACAGTGGTATATGAAGACCCCATAAGTCTCTCATCATTGCACACAGTTTTAGAAAGTAAACAATAAAATTGTTATTGAAATATTTACAAAATTATAGACCTAAGGACAATTCTCCAAACTTTCAACATGAAGAACTTAGATCTGTAGTACAAATATTATGGTTCTAATAAATATAATCAGTCATTGCTGACAAAATACCCCAAATGAGCTGTAAGCTGCAATCCCTGCTCCAGCAATTGTGGCAAATCCCCCGGTCATTACTGCATTTAATTCCGACTTTGTTATTTGTTTTAAAAATGGACGAATCATGATGGGTGCCTCAGTCTGAAATAAAATCAAGTAAAAAAATAAAACAAACAACTCAAAACTGACAATCTTGAATTTACCTTTAAATACTAACAATTTAAGCTTTGTTTTTAATACATCAGTAAATAATGAAACTGTTAATTAGTAATGGCTATTTGGTACTTCAAATTGTTACAAGAACTGTAAGACAGACAGAGACAATTGCAGTAGTTTATTAAGTACAACAAGAGTACTGCAGGTCAAAAAGAAGTCTTAGTGGCAAACATTTATGACCTACAAACATGTATGTCTAAGTCAAACAAAAAACGAGAATAATGATCAACAAGGCAAAGACAACGTTAATAGGACGCAGCCCAAAACACACCAAAGCTAGCACAGCATGGCACTAAAAATGCCCAATAACCAAAACCGGGATAGGACATAATGGCGACAAAAGGAGGACACGTTATATGTGAAATAATAAAAACTGAAATGGGCCTATACAGAAATAATAGGGACTAGGACCTAAATTGTGAAAAGAGGGAGGGGTAGGAACAAAAATGGGACAAATGGCGGGGCAGAAAATAATTACCGTTAACGACGACAATTAAGCAAGGTAGACATCGTAAAACAAACAAGTAGCAATACATTATTGTGAAACACACGACGAAACACAGAAGTATACCGCCTTAGAACGGTCATAGATAGTTACACCACTGGGGAGTTTAAACCGGTTTTAGGCGCGCCAAACATCACTCTTAGCCCAAATATATTCCTATATGACGAGACAGTGTCAATAAAATGAGTCCCCGACAAGTGAAATTCTAACAATAGTCATGGTAACATTAGACTAATCTAATAAAACACATTAATAAACAAGAGCCGGGTTTGAGCCGGGTGATGCTCCCCGAATAGGTTTTGGACACAGGAAAGTACACCTCTTGTAATTTCAGAGTTATGTCCCTGGAAGAAGTTCAAAGTGCAATTATTCCAAAATTAGGCAAAGCAGAGTTACTGTTCCTTGCACTGCACTTCTAATCAATGTGATCTATCAACCTACAAAGTTTCTTGATGATATCTCTTATGATTTGCGAGTTATGTCCCGGACAACTTCAAAAAGTAAAAATAAACAAAGGGCAATAACTCCAGAATAAGGCAAGGCACAGTTATGATTCTTGTGCACTGCACATCTAACCATTGAGATATATCTACCTACAATGTTTCATGTTGATATCTAGTTTTACAGCTATGTCCTGGACAAGACTTTTCTAAAAGGGGAGATAATTAAAAAATGAGTTATGGTTCCTTTGCACTGCACCTCTACTCAATGAGATCTATCTACCTACAAGAGTTATGTTCCGGACAAAGTTCAAAGTGTTAAAATTAACAAAGGGCAATAACTCCAAACTATATGCTCCCCCGAAATTTTTCGGGGAGAATAAAAAAGGGGGTGTTTTGAATACCAACTTGGTAAAACTCTACTAAACCATGTTCCACAACAAAACATCCTAACACTCAAGTCTTGTTGTTTCTGGCAAAAAGATATTAAATCTGTATGACATATATGAAAAAAAGATAACCCCTGTGTAGCAGCCGATTTTAAACTTGGCAAAGGTAAAATGTACGTTACGTAATGCTTCACTTTAAATATCTAAAACCATTTCAAAAATGAAAAATCTATTGAGCAAACATTGTGGATGTCATTTATCCATTGATCATATAAGTTTCAAACAAACATCTACAGTATAGGAGGACAAAACTTCTAACAAAATGTGAGTAATAGTTATCCCCCTTGAATTGCATCATTCTATGAACAAAATTTTAACAAACTACTGTAACAATACTTACATGTCCTACAAAGATATTAGCTGCAGCACACAGGGATTCTGGGGCAGTTGTTCCTAGGACCATCTTTAGTAACCATCCTATCTTACTAATGATCATCTGCATGGCTCCAAGGTAATATAAAACATTTATAACGCAGCTAAAGAAGATAACCACCGGTAAAACCTGAAATATAGTGAAAATGTAAATAGAAGATATTGACTGAGTGTAGGTTTGATACTAAATTTCTTGAACGAGTTGAAATAATCATATTATGCGAGCCTCTGGCGAGCATAATATTGTTTTGTTAAGGTTTTACATGATTATAATATTCTAAGTGTGAAGTTGGCGGCCTAGCGGCCTGGCGGCCTGGCGGCGTGAAGTTGGCGGCCTAACGGCCTAGCGGCCTGGCGGCGTGAAGTTGGCGGCCTAGCGGCCTGGCGGCCCAGCGGCGTGAAGTTGGCGGCCCAGCGGCCTGGCGGCCTAGCGGCGTGAAGTTGGCGGCCTAGCGGCCTGGCGGCCTAGCAGCCAAAAATTTTAATGTTGTAAAAATGTTTTTTTAACAATAAAACGGCATTTAATGAAGTTTTAAAGATAATTATTGTTATTTAAACGATATATCTAAAGAAAAAATCACTTTCAGAGATTTTTTTAATTTTGTCATTTTTGTGAAGTTGGCGGCCTAGCGGCCTGGCGGCCTAGCAGCCAAAAATTTTAAATGTTGTAAAAATGTTTTTTAAACAATAAAACGGCATTTAATGAAGTTTTAAAGATAATTATTGTTATTTAAACGATATATCTAAAGAAAAAATCACTTTCAGAGATTTTTTTAATTTTTGTCTTTTTTGTGAAGTTGGCGGCCTAGCGGCCTGGCGGCCTAGCAGCCAAAAATTTTTAATGTTGTAAAAATGTTTTTTTAACAATAAAACGGCATTTAATGAAGTTTTAAAGATAATTATTGTTATTTAAACGATATATCTAAAGAAAAAATCACTTTCAGAGATTTTTTTAAGTTTGTCATTTTTGTGAAGTTGGCGGCCCAGCGGCCTGGCGGCCTAGCAGCCAAAAATTTTAATGTTGTAAAAATGTTTTTTTTAACAATAAAACGGCATTTAATGAAGTTTTTAAAGATAATTATTGTTATTTAAAGGACATATCTAAAGAAAAAATCACTTTCAGAGATTTTTTTAATTTTGTCATTTTTTGTGAAGTTGGCGGCCTAGCGGCCTGGCGGGCCTAGCAGCCAAAAATTTTAATGTTGTAAAAAATGTTTTTTTA